AATAAATTTTGCAAGGAGTTGCAATCAGTTGCAACCCAAGTTGCAACTTACCGAGTTGCAACTTCTTAATTACAGTGCCATCTTTATTCTGAACCTTTCTGTTTTCCTGTCCTCTTTCTTACCTATTATCGGTAGTATACCAAAACATAACTTCTTATTTTCTTTCTTATATATAATTTTACTTTGGTGTATTACCAAATCTATACTCTGTTTTGTACTCCTGCTTTTCTAGAACCCTTTCTCGTATAGTTATTACTTTGGCGTATTTCTATAGTCGTTACTTTAGGCTATTACTATATCAATCTTTCATAATCATTTTCATGTATTATTCTGAGTCTTTCTGCCTTCCCAACCTCTTTCCTGCCTATCATCAGTAAGACGTAAAAGCATAATTTCTTATTTTCTTTTCTATATATAATTCTACTTTTGCGTCCTACCAAATTTATACTTTATTTTCACCCTTACATTCCTAGAATCCTTTCTCATATAATTGCTATTCTGGGATACTTTAAGATATTACTGCACTAATTGCTTTTGGGTATTACTTTTGGGTACTATCACATTGACTATTACCACTAATCCAGTGTTTTGCTAACAATCATATTCGCTCAAAATAGTAATTTTGAAGATTTGGGATTTTCTATGTAATTTTATATTAACTTTCTCCACATACCTACCATGATATTTGCGCAAAAAAAATTTGATCCCAATCTTGAAGAAATAAATAAAGTAATAAGGCTTTTTTTAGGTGTAGCAGATCTTGATTTTGAGCCAGGCTATAATGATCATATGTATTTCCAATATTTGTCTAATAGTAAAGATGCTATTACTCTTCTAGATACCTATCATCCTGAAGAGATTTTGATAAATATATCATTCGGGTAGGCGAAAAAGGCTTTACAGTTGTTGATCATCTATCTAAGATTTATAGGATACCCGATGCTCATAAATGTATTAATGGTAACTTGCCTCTTCGTCTTATTCTGGATATTGATGTGAAGCAGAAGCCCGATCCCACTTCCACTAAAAGTACTGAAAATATTTATCTTTTTTTGCTAATGCAATACTAGTAGCTAAGTTTAATTCTACTTTTGAACTAGCAATCTGGATTTGCAATTGTTCAAATCAGTTCTTCTGCACCTATAAAATGCAATATCATAACAGAACTGATATCAAAGCTTTAGCCTATACCCAGAAACGTGAAGAAAGATACTTTGTTAAAGTTAGTAGTAATTCTAAAATTTATTTATGAATATGTAAAAAGGGTCATCAATGGGAAGCGCTATATAAAAATATGAAACAGAATCATAGATGATGTAATATTTGCCCTAATGTACCGGAAAGAATATGTTGGTATATATTCAAAGATTTATTAAATAAAAAATTCCCACTCTGAAAACCTAAATTCTTAAAATGTTTATACATAGATGAATACAATGAAGAGCTAAGCTTGGCTTTCGAATATAGTGAAAACTAACATTACCAAATCATGCCTTTTTTTCACTTGCAAGGTCTAATGAATCTAGATGCACAAATTAGATGTGAATGAAAAAAAAGGTACTATGCTACAAACAAGGAGTAATCCTTATTACAATTTCTTATTGTATTGTTAACTTAGAAACTTTTATAAAAAGCGTCTTGTGTGCATTCAGTTATCTCCCAATACCCACCTAGGAGACAACATAGGTTCTTTCTTAATATGCATTAATTGTTCTCTTACAAAGAAACGCTGAGGTCCTGATTTGTCTAAATAATATAAAATAGGCATTAGAGGATACTTTCTAACAATAATTCTTCAGATTTTATGTAGACTATGAGACCATATCAGATCTGTTATTCTGTGTCATTTGAAAGGATCATTTTCACATTTTCCCTTAGCAAGTAAAAATCAGACAGCGATACTTTTTAGCAACTGGGGTTCATTAACACTTATTGGGCAATTATATTTTACCGATGGTTTGAAATATATCTGATCAAGTTTTGTGGCATCATTAGGGCTCATTCCAATTAATGAGTAAGGGTATTATTTATATTATCAACAATTCTTCTTGCAAATCATTTACATTCTCTACAGCGTTTGCCAGTAGTAGGTAAGAGAAACTCTACAGCATACTAGTTTTTAAAAACTTTAAATTTGAATATTCTAGCATAATGGTCAATAAAGGCTAAGCTAGTATGTCTGAAATGTGCTATAATTCTTCGGATTTTAACACCATGCTTATTCATTAATAAAGTTACATATCCCATAAACTCAGTGCCCTTATCACATTGTAGTTTTCAAGGCCAGTTAAGGGGTTTGTCAGGATTATCATATATATTCTTAAAAGCTTCTGTGACTTCTACACTATTTTTTGATATTAAAAAATGAAATCTTTATATCTAGTCACACAGTCTATAACTAATAATATATAGTAAAATATTGGGCTATTGTCTATTAAATCTATATTCACATCATCATATGAATAGCTAGCATAAGGTATATACTTTGGTAAAGGACAAAAGATTTGATATATTGCTTGAGTATCAAGCCATTTTTTTACATCAGTAAATAGGATGGTATATCCAGTTTTTTTACATACATCTCATAATCCCTTAATATTTTGGTAAAGACCTTCAAGTTGATAATAAAGCTTTTATAAGGCAAGATTTCAGTCAAGATTATGCGCTTTTTGAGGATCGATACAAATCAAGGGTTCTTACATTCCGAATCTCTTTTATAATAACAAAAAAAGAATGACATTTCACAAACCTCATCCAAGGTAGAGAAAAACATGTGAAGAGTATAAAGCTGAGTTAGAGGAAAATAACTATCATCTTCGAGATGCATTACAGACAGAAATAGAAAATAATCACCTAAATGAGAAATGGTTCAATCAACTGAAATGTGAATATAAGCAGGAAATCCAAAATCTCAATAAAGAGATAGCAGAGCTAAGATCTGAAATCTCCAGTCTAAAAAGTCAGCTATATCAAGCTAAGAAAGATGTGCGAGATAAGGAATAATATATCTTTACCTTAGAAGAGCGATTGGTAAAATCTGAGGAATAGGTAGAGAAATTGAGATGCTGAATCAAGGTCATTTTATCATGAAAAAATTCACCAGTACAAGGGAATTCTCCTAATCAATATAATTCTGATAATAATATAGCTACAATCATAGAGCTAGCAAATGCTATAGATAGTTATTTAGATAATCCAACAATAGATAAAGAAATCTTGGCTGGTCAAATAAAAAGGACAATAAGACAGATTCGTCGAAAAGAGAATAATTTGCATCAGGACTTAGCTCATGAGCAAAGAAGGTGTTATGATGCAGAGGCTGCCAGGGATAATGAAATAATATGAAGAAATCTTGCTGAAGGAGAGATGGCCACGGTTGTTGGTGATTTCCATCAATATCAAACTAATGCTCAAAACCAAGTAAATAGAATAATAGGTAATATAGCAAAAAAGCAAACCCGTATAGGTGAACTAGTACAAGAAAAATTTGCTTTACAATTATTATATCAGTGAAATGCCTACCACCTACAGCAAAGTAGAGGAGATATAGGTCTGTTAGAATATAATCGAGACAGGCTCTATGAGCGATATGAGAAATGAAAGCTAAAAAAAAATTCTCGTCAGAATATTTTAAATTTGCAGGAACAAATTTTAGCGTTACAGAATAACCTACCAAATCTAATAAACATGGCTTTACCTGCAGGATTTGTAATGCCTGAATTACTTAGCTTTGAACAAGATCATGAAAAGTATGCAGATGATTTTATAGCATATATCTATTTAGTGGATATAAATGATAAAGCAAAAATTCGCAATATACTAGACTGATCAGTAAATGGAGAAGTGTGAGAGTGGTATCATAAAGAGTTTGATAATAAAAACTGGGAATTACAGAATGTGTTAGATAATTCTGGCATAGGTATTAATATTGGGACCATTCATGATGCTAATGCAGGAGCTATAACAGGAGCAGTTGCATCTTTTCCAAATGTCCTACTAGGCCTAGCAGATGCAGACATTATTCCAGCTCGAGGACTTAATGAAGATTGGACAATAGCTAGAGGACGATCAACTAATGCAGAACCAGTTGCGGTAAATACTAGAAGTGGTATTCCTGTTATTCTTACAGGAATTCGATCTAAACAAAGGGTACATCTAAGGTTGCTTGTCAAATTCATTTTGGATTTGGCAAAATGGTAAAACCTTTAGTTTCGCTAAATTTTTACTAAGTGTTTAATATAGTTTCACCATTTTTATAAGCTTTGATATAGTTTTACCTTTTTCCAAATTTCGCAGATTTTTTAATAAGGTTT